GCTGCGCCGGGGAAGGAGCTCCGGAGCCGGGCGAGCAGACTTGGCTTTTTCGATGCCTGACTGCGGCTTGAACGCCGTGTGTTTCCCATCTCGCGTGTTTTGGGGGCTCTGCCTCGCCGAGTTCCCAGCCCTCCTCTTCTCCGCTGGGGACAAAGGAATCGCGAGACCGCTGGTGTGTGGTGTTCGGGTTTTTGTTTGCTTGTTTCTTTAGGACTGAGGTTTTTATGTGGAGACGATGAAGGGGAGAAAACAGAACAAAGTGGTTCGCAAGCGCGGGGCTGGTTCGTTATTTTGTAGGCAGCGGCCGAAAGTTACGGCGCTCTTTTGTGGTGTTTGTTGCCGGATAATGAGACTTTTTGACAGGTCGTTCCCTTCGGCGACGTTAACAGGTTTGGAACGTGAAAGTAAGTTGAAGTCAGCACGGTCATTGTGGCTAGGAGAACGCTGGAGGTTTTTAAATTTTTTGAGACAGCGAATGTTTGAGCACGTCCTTTTAAACAATACAAAGTGGAAAAGGGAACTCATTAATTTTTTAATACACACTTTTTAGGGAGAATGACTTAATTGGATAGTTCGCTAATTAATTACATTAGATCAGAGCATGTATAAAATTAACGTCTGAAGTACGTTGTAGTCTTACCTATTTATATAACTATGTCTTAAGAACAGTATTCGTTGTAGGAGACGCTTTTCCATGGGCCTCTTGTTTTCCCTTGCCGGAGAGATACTGTCTGCCCTTTGTTTCTGTTTTGTCAATAATGTTGTATGAAAAAAAAAGCGTTGTATGAGGAACAGCTTTGGAAGAAAGGCTTCCCCCACAGCAAAGGGCAAACGCCTAAACTGTCCAGTATAATAAAGATTATGTCTCCCTCTGGAGCCAAAGTGTAGACATGCTTATTGCCCACCATAAAACATTAGGATTCCCTAAGCCCAGGATTCCGTTGTGTAACAACCCACTGCCTGCACAGGTGTGAGTGACTCCCTTCACTTCGTCCTGTGAGAACTGGGCCCTGGCGGTGTAGTACTGTTGGTGTTCCAGCCTATGTTATTACTGTAAGTAATAAATTGCTCTTCTCTCTGTACTTTTTTTTTGTGTGTGTGAGCCTTGATCTCACTATGTAGCTCAGGTTGGCCTCAAACTCGCAGTTACAGGCAAGGCACCCAGTTGATACTCTCACATTCTGTTACCATTTATGAAACTAGTAGGCTACTTTGTTAGCTTGCAAGCGGGGTAAAAAAAATCTCAGATCTTTTGCGTGAGTTTGTTACAAAGTAACCTACCTGTTGGAAAATTAATACAAGTGTAATTTAAACCTGAGTTCTTTTGCACATATGTGTAGTATTGGGGATTAAACCAAGGCTTTAGAACATAAAGCCAGTGCTCTACCACTGAACTGTTAAGGCAGGTAACCAAAATCACTCATGGAGGCCGAAAATGGGAACAAGCGGGGCTTTATTTAGCGTATGTGGAGGATACTCCAACTTTTGCGAGCCAGGAGTATTGACAGTGATGATAGGAACACAGTGGCTTATATAGTAGTTGGTCTAGTATCTAAAAATAGCATGTACTTTAAAGAAAGGTGGAGTACAGAGTTTATCTAATCACATGGTGATAGTCCTAGTCATGGGGTTATTACAGCATTTGACAGAAACAGCATTTGTCAGAAATAGCATTGCTTACAAGTGGAAATGGTTGAACATGTGACAAGGGGTGAACATAATTTGAGGAACAAGAGTGAGTTCCTCTAAAGTTCAAGAGAGTTTGAGTGGATTTAAAATGAAGTTCTAAAAAGCAAATGGGTCGAGAAATGCAAATTAAAATAACAGAGATTCCATCCTCACCCCAGAAATTATAGCTATCATCAAGAAATCAACCCATCACAAATGCTGGAGGAATTGTGGGGAAAAAGGAATCTTTCTCCACTGCTGGTAGGAATGTAGACTGGTGCAACCACTGTGGAAATCAGTGTGGAGATTCCTCAAAAAACTAGGATTAGAGGTCCCATTCCACCCAGCTATTCCCCTTCTGGGTATTTTCCCAGGAGAATTAAAAACATCATACTACAGTGATATATGTGTACCCATGTTTATAGCAGTACAGTTTGTAATAGCTAAATCCAGGAAACAATCCAAATGTCCATCAACCAAGGAGTGGATAAAAAAGATGTGGTATTTTTATACAAAGGAGTACTGCTCAGCTGTAAAGAAAGATAAACTCAAACTCAGAGCTTTTATAGGTAAATGGGTACAACTAGAGACCATACTCATAAGTGAAATAAAACAGACCCACATGTGTTAACATCGTATTGTCTCCCTAGTGTAAGAACCTGAAAGAGTAAATAAAATCTAAAAGGTATAGTAGATGTTATGAAAGTGAAAGAAGTTGCTCAAAGGAAGGAACAACTGGGATGAGGGAAAGGAGAAAAAGAAAGAAGGAATATATATATATATATATATATATATATATATATATATATGTGTGGACAGCTGTGATAACTACTGCTGATGTCTAGTGGTTTACTGAAAGGAACAGTTAATGCTGAATTTTTTTCCTTTTTCTTTTTCTTTTTCTTTTTTTTTTTTTTTTTTTGGTACCAGGAATTGAATTCAGGACCTTGCGTTTGCCAGGCAGGCCCTTGTGCCACTGAGCTATATCCCCAGCCCCTGAATTTTTTTTTTCTTTTTGACCAATTTTGCATGCTTATATCTTGTAATCTGAACAACTGATCTGAAGACAGCAATATGCAATATACGAATTCCTACCATCTTGTTTAGTGAAACTGTATCGTTTTTAATGTTTTTTTTTTTTTTATTCTCTTTAATGGTTTGGTCAATCTTGCATTCTTTTTTTTTCTCTTCAATCTTGCATTCTTAATCTGAGCAATTTTGTTGAAGGTAACAATATGTAATATAACTAGCACTGTTAATTCCTATCATTTTGTTTTGAAACCCTGTATCGTTTTTGTTTTTGTTTTTGTCCATGTTGTTGGTACTTCGTTTTTGGTTTTTTTTGTTTTTCGATTTTCTTCCTGTACCAGGAACTGAACTCACGACCTTGCGCTTGCCGGGCAGGCACTTCGCCACTGAGCTAAATCCCCAGCCCCCATTGTTGGTATTTTGCTATTGTCCTTTTTTTAGTCACATTTTTAAAAAAAGCAAATGGGGTCCCTTGCCCTATCAGAGCCACACCCACAGCCCAAACATTAGTTAGTTCTTAAATTTGGTGAACTAGGGGTTGGGTTGTGCTAGAAATTAAACCCAGGTCCTGGCACCCAATAAGCACAGCTCTACCAGTGAACTATGCTCTCCAGCCCTGGTCCTTTGAGCTGTAGCCTCAGCCCTTTAAATAAATTTTTTCCCAGCTCCCCCCTTTTTAAAGTTTTTAAAACAGATTTGCAGCTAAATTGTCCAGGCTAGCTTGAACTCCTCATCCTCCTGCCTTGGCCTCCTAAATAGTTGGGATTACAGGCTTGCTCCACTACTGCAAGCAATTCTCAGTGGATCCTCGAGTTACAAGAAGCCTCACATATGAATACCTTGGGTTATGACCTGAATTTTAGGTTTACTTTACGCCCAAAGTCTTCAATTACAGCCCAAATGCAGTCACTTGTGTGGCTGTAAACAAAGACTCATGATGAAGTGTATGTGTCTGTCTCAGCCCAGGTACATGTGTTTGTGGATGTGATTTCTGTTGGTGCTTTATACAGTTGCTACAATTACTGCTATCAAAATGACACCCAAAAAGTTAGAAAACAAGCTAAAGATGGGAAGGTAGAAGGAAGGTAGAAAAAACAGTCAAAATAGGAAAAGAAAGGAATTGTGGAGAAATATGAGTGGCAGTTGTGTGACTGATCTTGCTAATATGTATAGTATGTTGAAATCCACCATCTCAACAGTTGCAGAGAAAATATTTGTATATGAAAGCTAGTGTTGCTAAAGGTGTTGCTTGAATTAACAAGTTACAGTCAGCAGTGTTAGATGAGGTTGAAAGGCTGTCAGTGCGGATGAACGAAAGCCAGAAGGCCAGGTTACAGCCTACTTGAGTCTATAATTTGTGAGAAAGCTAGGGTTATAAATAAATACAGATCTTGTAAAGGATATCACATCAATAAGTGATAACAGTGAAACATTTGTGCTAGTAAGGGATGGTTTCACAATATTAAAGTGAGAACTGGGATTCGTCGCATAACTTGCTGGGCGTGGTGGTGCATGCCTGTAATCCCAGAATTTGGGAGGTTGAGGCAAGAGCATCACTGAGTTCAAGGCCAGTCTGGGCTACAAAGTAAGTTCAAGGCCAGCCTGAATTGTATAGTGAAAC